TTGTAGACAGTTGAGGAGGGGTGGTGGCGGGGTTATCGGAGGTTAGTTAGCATCTACCATAAGCGGCTAACTGTAGGCACTAATCACTTAGCACTGAGTTGACAGGGGTTGATACTTGGTGCTTCTCAGTGGCTATCTTTAATAAGCCGTGTCGAGGCTGAACAGCCCAGCCGTATTGTGACCGGACATTGGTGACCTCAGTACAAGAATGATGAGACTAGATGGATTCTATGAAGCTTCTTTGGTACCCTTGGGATCTTCAGTATCGGGCCATTTCTGAAAAGGGGCGGCGCCTGTTAGTTAAGTGGTGCGCGTGAGCTCAAATGAAGCCAGAATACTAACGAGGATATTGTTGATGGTATATAACAGCAAGTGCCATCACTGCCGGACACAACAATGTCTTCAGTCATAGGCAAGAGCTAGCCATGACGAGGATATATCATATTAACCTAGATATATGGTTATGATAGCATAAACGAATAAGGCTTCAATATTACCTCGTCTGGAGGTTCGTGATGACAAAGTGTCCAACTGGATCAGCTCATGATAATCGGATACTACTTTCCTGGACACTAAATTTCGTCCGCGAAGGATAATGTGTATGCGTAATCAGTCTAAGTATCAGTGGGTCTCGATCGACAGAAGTATTACTTTTGGCATCGATCGCCCGACTGTCTCTGTATCATCTTTAGCTCCACATCCTGATAGAATTCAGGATGAGGTGAGCGATGTTGATGAAAAGCTTGTTCTGGGGACCAGATGATGACAGTACGAGTACTAATAGACGTTTCTCATACACCATCGATTTTATGTGTTGATATATCCCAGGGTCACCTCGCATATACGTATACATCGCTACTTACTATTAGTAGTGTGCGAGCCGATATATGCACAGAATCATATAAGACTAGTACCGTCGTGGCTATGTAACACACTACCTCTAGCATGTATGAAACCAGCTCAATTGCCCATAATCTGAAACTTCGAGTCGAAGGTCTCAGAAGCACAATCAAGTAACTATACCTAGCAGCTTGACAACACCCATACTCACATCAGGAAAGTGCATCAGCCAATTAGCATGAACCAAGTATCGATTCGACTCAGGCAGAACTGTGCACTACCAGTGTGGCGCTGTCCGCTATGCTAAGCACTAAATTGCACAAGTTGTAGTCTTGATGGATGAAAGGCCCGGCCGTCTCACTAGCCATATAGTGGACCACTTAGTCTATGGATCATCCGGAACGATACGTATGTCCCGGTCATGACTATACCTCTTGGCAGGGTGTTGTAAATTGTGTTGGTGGCACCTATGGCCTCGCAATAAAGCCGCTCGATTGAAGCACAGTATGCAATATACGCATGAACTGCATAGAAACTAAAGTCAGTGGTTCGAGCACTGAGGCGTCTCTGCAATAGCTCGCAGGCGTGCAGACCTTGTCTGCCTGATGTCACCGGGGTCGCAAGGATGAGTTCATGGGCCTAATCCCGGAATGACTTCGAGCCTTGGGGCCACTAGTCTCGTATTGTCCCCAGCAGTAAGCAGCTAGGTGGCAATCACGGGCATGGATTATTTTCGAGCTAAGCGTGGTAGTAGGAGCGGGCACCTAGATGACTGGACAATGAACAGCTAGCGAGCACCGTGGGGTCATCATGTGTCGAGCTAGAGAAATGCGGATATATTCGGGAATGGAAGAGTCCTTTTGTGTGATGAGTGTTCCATGACTGTTGGAGGATGTCCGGTGGCTGCACCTCGTGGCATCAGGCCGCAATGGGAAGCAGGTATGGCATCTGGGGGAAGAATGTGGGCATGCACACAGAATATGCATGTGGTGTTCTTATCGTAGTGCTATGAGTGGTAAAAGACGCTGCTTAAGAGTTCAGTGTTCTGCGTGATTTCGTGGAGCAAATACCATCGAACTGCGGGGATGCTGCTGCTCAACAGATTGGAGGGTTGGTGAGACCACCCGAGTTGTGGATTGACGGATCTTTGCTGGATGGATGGTCGGGGGCCCAGAAAGGCCTAGAACGCGACCGTAGCTTGGAAGCATTTGAAGGAAGAAGAGCTTTACCTGTACGATGGTTGTCTTTGAGATAATGTGCTGTGCTTTGAAAATTGAAGAGAGGAGGGAGAAACCCGACATAGCAACAGCCAACATGCGAATGGCCTTTACCATGGAACCCAGTAAAGGGGAAGAAAGCAGGATGGATGGTGACAGGAAGTTTACTATAGTATTGAGTGTCGCGGCGGATGACGCATGACTGGCTGCCTACCGAATCAGGCGGCCCGCTGTGAAGGTGCTCCGCCCGCTGCTGCACTTCACCAGGAACCGTAACCTCACCTCCTCCCGCCTTTGCTCGTCCTACACTTGCATCTCTTTCTCCTACTACTACTACACCGTGGCCTTCTGGCTTCCTCCATCTCCAGGATACCCTGTCGTCTCGCTTCGACCGTCTCCTGTCTCGTCTGGAGCCCGGTCCTCTCACCTTTCTCTCCCCCTCTCTGCGCCACTTCCCCCCCTCCTCCCTCGCCCGCTCGCGTCGATCGCTTCGCTGGTGTGACTGTATTTATAATTCGCCCCGTCGGCCACCTAAGGCGTCCGAACAAAGACCCTGATCTACTGGCTGTCAATAGACTCGATAGAAAACTTGCTCCAGAGCTGGCCAGGGCTTGCATTTGCTGGTTTCCTCGACCTGATTTGACCCTCTCCGAGTCTGGGAGAGCTTCCCCGCACTAGAGCTGCACAGCATCATGTATGTCGTGGAGAAACACATCACTAGGAATAATGAGAGACCAAGTGAATATGTAGCTAACCGAAGACTCTCACAATATCCAGGCGCATTACCGTGAGCGTGATTCGTCCGGATCAGGCCGACGCCGACATCTTCTCCCTAGAAGTCGGTGGGGACATGACCGTCGAGCTCCTCAAAGCCATCGTTGAAAGCGAAACCTCCATCCCTCCTCCCTCCCAACGTATTCTCTACAACAATCAACTACTCGCCGATGATGCTCGCACCCTCGAACAGGTTGGCATTGGTGAGGGCGACATGATAGGTGTTCAGGTTACGCTGCGGAGACCCCAGGCCCCTCCACGGAGTATCGGGGGCCCCAGCTCTGCGGCTGCCCAACAAAACCTGCAGCGAAGACAGGCAATGACACCAGATCCCGAGACGATTCGTCTACATATTCTCGGTAATCCGCAAGTGCGCGAGGCTGTTCGACGGCAGAATCCGGAACTGGCGGAGGTGGCCAACGATGCACAGCGCTTCCGTGATGTCCTTCAACGACAACAACAGCGCGAGGCTCAGGCTGCAGCAGAGAAGGAGGCTCGAATTGCCATGCTGAATGCTGATCCGTTCAACCCCGAGAATCAGCGCGAGATCGAGGAGATTATCCGTCAAAACGCGGTAACGGAAAACCTCCACAATGCCATGGAACACCACCCAGAGTGTAAGTGGGCGAAACGTTTTCCGTGTCGACCTTATTGCTGACATGAAAGCACAGCATTTGGTCGCGTAACCATGCTGTATATCCCTGTCGAGGTCAATGGCCATAGACTCAACGCATTCGTCGATTCCGGCGCACAGGTCACCATTATGTCACCCGAATGTGCGACCGCGTGCAACATCATGCGACTCGTCGACCAGCGATATGGGGGAATCGCCAAGGGCGTTGGTACGGCTAACATTATCGGTCGGGTGCATTCAGCACAAATCAAGATTGGAAGCATGTTTCTTCCATGCTCCTTCACAGTTATGGAGGGAAAGCACATTGATCTACTCCTAGGCTTGGACATGTTGAGGAGACACCAAGCCTGCATTGACCTCAAACGAGGTGCACTCATCATTCAAGACCAAGCGGTCCCGTTCTTGGGAGAGGCAGACATTCCCAAGCACCTCCAGGAGGAATTCGAGGATGAGCCCATGATCAAGGGAGCCGATGGCGCCGAAGTCGGCGCCCGGACAGGTGCGGTCACGCATCAGGCCAGCCGCAGCCAAGCAGCTGGTGGCCCCAACATGGCCTCTGCGGCATCCTCTTCCCGCCCAGCCCCGCCGCAGTCACGCTGGCCGGCGGACTCCATCGCGAAGATCACCGAACTAGGCTTTACGCGAGAAGAAGCCATGCGAGCTTTAGACGCAGCCAACGGAGACCTAGATGGAGCCATTGGATTTCTGATATGACGCAGGTGATGTCACCGCTTTGGAATCCTTCAACTTTTGGCAAACTTGGTGCCGGGTGAGCAGTCCCGGGAACTTTCGTACCGCTGTAATATGATCTATCATCAACAACAGCGAGACCTGTGCGCAAATTGTGCGATGGCGCTCTATTCCCTACCCATGTCTCTATTTCACTTCCCTTGTAACAATGAAGCCTACGGACGTAACTATTATTGCATTCTTCTGGTGATCCTACACACTCCCATGGTCCCCGCACGGAACTCTATACCTAGCAAGCAAGATAGACAACCATCAACAGCCACCCAAATCTTATTAAGGAATATTTTGGAGGCCATCATTCCATACTATCACCCAGCCCCTGTGGCAAACAATCACAATCCCTGCTTTGGCCCCCCCAAATCCGCAAGCCTCATCTTCTCACATCGGGCTTCATCCCGACCTATATCATGCAGCTGCAGGATTAAGAGCGATCGGGTCGGTGTAGCGGGTCCTGCTGCCACATTTACACATTTTTCACACAGTAAGTACTATCTAGTGGGAATGCATTCCTACCTGTACAATGTACAGAGCACAGATCACAGACCCAAAGAGACTTTTGGTTTTGCAGCCCACCGCACCTAACTTAGCGAGTTGGCATGTATGCCTTACGCTTTCAGAGTTCATACACCTCCCCCCGGCACTAAGTCCAGCACGATAAGGCAGGTTGATGTCCTTGCATGACTAGGCTCATGCAACTTCCTAGGCCTAGAACCCAATGACTGGTCTAGTTTATTGGTCTGCGAAACATTTCCGTCCAGTCTACACCTCTACTGCTACAAAGTACACCTGTAGGAAAGTACTGTGTACAGTAAGTACACTTTCCAGCTTTGCAGACGCATGCAGGCCTGAGTTCAGATCTGCCATTCCTTTGCTTTATTTTTTCATTTTCTTTTACGTGATCTATGGATTATCGTCCCAGCACATACACCCCCTGCATTGGATACTGTATGCATACATGCCCTCCACTGGAATAGGAAAGGGAGAATATTGGGGTTTGGGGGACTGATTACTGTTGTGACTTACTCCTTCTTGGACTTGACTAGGAGTCTTGTCCGAAGTCTAAAGAACATATCCAGTGCCATGAATGCACCTATCAGAGATTAATTAGCAGCCGTCCAACTCAGCTTACATATGTCCAGGTGCATGCAGCATCTTAACTTACCAAGAGCAACATAAGGCCCATATAGCATGCTGATGTTCTGCTTTTGGGCTACAGAGCGATCTGCCCAACTCCAGACCTCGACCAGACAGACTGTGGAGGTAAGGAAGGCCTGAAGACCAAAAATGAGGAGGTGGAGGGGGACAAGAGGGTCATCTGTCATGTATCCACCCCGTTAGCTCCAAGTTCCAGATAGGGAGATACCGAGCGTTTATGATGTAACGGTAGGTATAGTAGTGGATGATAGTAGGTGTAGATCCGCACCTCTCTTCAGGCCGCCAAGTGCCCAGACGCTTACGGGCACATGGTAGAACAGCTCCATAAGTATGAAGGAGTAAAACCAGGGGGCGGGTGGCTCCTCGAAGAACTTGTCATGGTACGTATCAATGTAGAACTGTCGGAGGGTGTGGGAAAGGTTGGATTGGAGGGCGGTGGGGAGGATCGGGGCTGCGTCGACCACTAGGAAGATTGATTGATTGATAGCGAGTTAGTGGGTTTCGGGACTACGTAAACGAGTGTGTATATCAGTGGGAAGGGGGGGGCAACTTTAGACCGACTTACGAAAAATGATGGGGACATGGATAGCAAAGAAGGAGAAGTAGATCAAGTCGCGTTTCCGGCTCCACAAGGAGGCGGGAGCAGTCGGAGAAGCCATTCTGGGTTTCGGAATTGCGTAAAGGAGAAGGTGTCTCCGGTTATCTAGAAACGTAGGGCGTAGGATGTAGATAGGTCGGGTCCCTTTCGTCCGGCCGAGAAGTTTCGTTTGACAGCTAAGTGGTAAGCTAGTAGAGTCTAGCTGGAGGATGTGGAAGAAAAGGATCTGATATGTGCGAAGAAGAAGAAGAAAAAGAAGAGGAAAGAGCGAGAAAGCGGGTCAGCTGACCGTCACGGGTTCTCCGAGAAGAGGAAAAAAAACACAAACGAAGCAAACGGAAAAAGCAACTACCATGAGAAAAGCAAATAAAGAAAGAAACCATCGAGAAAAAAAAAAATCCCCGCCGTTCGCCAGACCCGATCGGCTGGAAAAGACAGTTTGAGAACCTACCCTAATACTCACTACTTTGGCAGAATGTTTGCTTTTTCCAAACTGCACGCGTCCCAGGAGTCCCCTAAACATAGCTTAAGCTTAGCCGTGTGGATCGCAGTCCAGCTATCGCTCAATCAACAATCATGGCTGCTCGGGTAAGGTGAGTTAAACCCACTGTCAACCATCAACCAGCCGTGGTGACCCAACGGTTTAACGAGCTCAAAAAGTATGAAATATTGAAAAAAAAATAATAAAAACAACAAAGTTGTTTCTTTCGCCCATCCACAGGCTTGCTTTTTTAGCAGAAACTCATCAGCCTTGCATATGGTGTTGAATAATATATCGATATATTCTTCTTCGATCTTATCGTTGTGTGAGACATCCTAGTGCCATGTCCACCCTGGTAGCTGGTCCAGCTCCGCCCTCAAGCCATCAGTCATAGATTCATGGTGATCTCTCATTCCAGGGCGGCCCGATAAACTGGGCGTCTTCACCGCAATTCTCAAACCCTGCCTTCTGCTTACTCGTTGTGACCTCCGACTCCCGGCAAAGCTTGTGGTGCAAAAGTCCTCTACTGGAGCCCAGGATCCCTTAGTTGTGGCGCCTGCCCCTCCCCCTTCCCTTGGGGCTGATCTTTTGCCTCTGGGCTCCTGCTTGGCCCCGGAATCGGCCTTGACTCAATTTTACGCATCAAAACAAAAGTACTGCAAGGATTCGAGCAGCTGGTATCCGCCACCTGCACGCTGATCCCACCATGTCTCTCAATAATAGCATGCATTCTGCAGACAAAGCAACCCGATCCAGGAAATGTCCTCGAACGTCAAAAATGTACCTGGGTCCCCTATCTCATGATTTGGCTCGGTCCTCTTAGAACATCGTTGTGTGGGCGGACGACGGGAAGCTTACGCTTAGAGCCACACTTTGCACCACCGTCCGTCAGTCCATTGTCGCATAGTGTTTCGCACAGAGTGGGCTAGTCTCCAACAGCCGGAAATGCGTCGCCCGACTCCCAGGGTAGACACTAGTCACTAAGTACGTACCTTGGAGGTCACAGCGACCCTTTCCCCGGAACTTGGGGCCAAATTTGACCGCCGGTGCTATCTAGTTGCTGTATCTCGCAAGAACACCCTGCGAATAGTCGCCAGCCTCAACCAGTAGTGGACTATCCACATCCACCGTACCCACAGGCACCAAACTTGGGAATCCTTTGACATTCCTTGTACCCCATGTACCAGTTGGGATAACATTTCGTAAGAGATAGCTCATGGACAACGAATCAGTGACGTGACACCTTCAACGGGCATCAATCGACAAAGTACATACTTTTTTCCTAGGCCGTCTCGAATGGCAGCAGGAAGAGACTAACTTGGATAGGTAGTAGATATGATCAATGAAAGACAAAGCACTCAGGCCCTACGACGGAAACACGGATGACACAAAATAAAACTTGGTCCCAATTGCAATTCGACCCCTCCAGACTCGGAAGCTCTGAGCTTGAAGGTTGCTCGAACGCGGACATGATGTGGCTTGAACAACTGGGCGGACACAGTCGTACATTATGATCAGACCAATTCTCCTGCATCCTTCCTTCGAGGCTTCTGTGGGCCTTCGACGCCATCTGGGAAATGTTCTAGATAGCCTGGATGACCTTCCGCGGCCCATCTCTACCGATTATGGAACATTAACGTGGCTCGGTGGAGAAACCCGATAGTCCACGGACATTGAACCGCATTCCCGAAATGAAAGCCAACGTCACAACTCGCGCGAGAGGCTCCGTTGGCCCTGCGCGCGAGAAGATCGGCCAGGCCTGTCTGTTCCACCCTGGTTCAAATTGGACTTGATGCGAAGGATGGATGGATACCGTGAGCAAGTTTTTCGCCCGTTGGGTGGAAGCCCAAACCGGGTCTATGTGTGACCCTTTTGGCTTACACGGGTGCTCACTCCCGCAACTGAGCTAAAGAAAAAATCTTAATCATTTCTGTTGAGAAGGAAATTTTGACACCAATGTTGTTTGCTTCCCTGAAGAGGCAGCATGGATACGCAAAGGCGTCACTAAAACCGAGAGAGAGAGCGAACACATCAAATTTTCGGGGAAGCTACAGTGGGTATGCGCTGAGTCGATTTTGTGCCTCCTCGGCATTGTGGCCCCAAAATAAACTGGAGCCAGGAAGTCGGCACTATTTTTGTTCGATTGAGTTGACGCGATCGATCACCACCAGGATACTGCGAGAAAGAGAGCAGGCATTATCCCAAACAAAAATTTAACTGTGGAAAAAGAAAATTTGAGAAAAAGAAATAATGAAAAAAAGAATAATTAATTAAAGGAAAAAGAAAAAGAAAAAGCAAACAATTCAACAATCAAAAGAAAGAAAGAAAAATTTAACATTTTCTCGTTCTTTGGGATAAACAGCAGTGGAACACAAATTACTCTAACCCCCTTCACAATGTTGTACTGAGTACGCATGCGCCCTCTTGACATGAGATAAACGGTTTCCACCAACCAAACATTAGCAGAGGGGCTGCAATATTCCTGGATTATTGGCAATGGCTACCTGTGGCAGAGCGCATACAGGCTACAGTAGTACAAAGCAGCCGCGGCCTCGAAGCCGGGAGTTTTACCATCGTCCTTCTGTCGAGCGATGCAAGGACTAATGCAAGATAGCTACCGTAGCTGCTGCTGCTGCTGCTGCTACTGCTGAAGTAATGGTACTCCTTCCCACTACTGCACAGGACAAATTCCGCGATCTAGTGCCGTCTACCCTAGAAGGAACAGACTCAAACTTAATGATATTGGCCCAACGTGCCGGCCGCATGGCTCCACCTCTGCCTTCTTTGCAGGCCCTCTGGCTGCTTATCGTTCATCCGGGTTCGCTAGATCAGAGCGGTGAAACCACACCAGAACCACATCGAATGGAACAATTTACAGTTGAGAGCCAGTCCCCCGGAACACGCCGGGTCCAGGGAGAAGACAGTGCCTTCCCATCGAAGTATCGGCAGGTCCAATCGCTATCGCTTCTGCGGTCGGTCAGGCTTAGCTCCGAGAAGACAATCGTCGTTGCCATGCCGGACAACCCTCTGCTGCTGTAAGCCCTTTGTCGTCCGATGCGGGAAGGAAGCTATACTCTTGTAGTGGGCGCGCCGATGCCCCATTCTCTATTATTCATTGGACCTTGACCGCTTCTCCCAATTCCGTCGTGCATCTCCTGCTCGTCTCGGTCCCTGTTCCGAACGGCCTGCCTCTTCCCTTTCTGGCCTCTTCGTCACTCTGTATGCTCTCTTCCCCTTCACCTTTTCCAGACACTGCTTGTGCCATGCTGGCTCCTGAGTGGTTCATTCCTTTGCCGCCGCCCCCTCACCCCCCTACGATGACCGCTGTTCTCATCTGTCGAGACCCGTCCGGCACCGACTTTGTACCCCTGTCGTCATGGCTTCGAGACGACCTTTTTTTTGTGCCCGCCTTGAGTAGTAGTAGCAGCAGTAGTAATCGGGCGTATCTACCAGCCCAAGCTTTCCCGGTCCGGAAAATTGAAAGGGATAATCCCTGGTCTAACTCTTTCTAAGCGAACCTCCGGTGGATGCATTGCCATTGGCGCTGCTGCGGCCATATCATCCACACTTGGCCGTGTTTACTGCTTGTGCAATCCCTTTATCGCCATATCGAGCCGGTGGAGGTTGTATCTGATCAGATATATATTCATCTCTCGTCCACCCTCGACTGAACTCTCTTTTCTTCCCCATCCATCTCCAGAGACTTCAATTGACCTTGATTTCTCGGGTTCTATCCTTTTCCTTTTCCCTCCTACTAGCTCACTTTCATCTTTCTTGACGTCGACGTCCCGCTTAACCTCTTTGTGGCCTTGAGCAACACTACATTACGTACATACTTCCTTCGCACAAGAGCACACACCAGTCAACGCGCACATCCGCAATCATGCCGTCCTCTGCGCCTGTCCTACGGCCCAAGAAGGCCCTTCCCATCAATGCCCATAAGGAGGAGGAGCCGATCAGCTACGACATCAATATCCCTTACGTGGACGTCACCAAGGAGTCTCACCTACGCACCAGATACCCCGAATACCTTCCCACGTGGGACAAAGTGTGGTTCGATCCTCTTCCTCCTTTTGAGTATCAGGACCCTGCCCTTCGCGTGAAGGATAAGTCCAAGCGCAATCTTCTGACACCCGGCACAAAGGTGACGGAGATCCAACCGCGCATTGGTAGCATCGTGGAAGGCGTTCAGCTCAACCAGCTCTCGGACGCCCAGAAAGATGAGCTTGCCCTTTTGGTTGCCGAACGCAAAGTGGTAGCTTTCCCGGACCAGGATCTCATTGACGATGGCCCTGAGGCACAAGAGGCTTTCATGCGTCACTTTGGCAAGCCCAATTATCAGCCCGTCTCTGGCTCAATGCGCGGGCATCCAGGTTTCCATATCATCCATCGCGATGGCAACCGCGAGGAAATCACTCGCTTCCTCTCGCAGCGCACTACTACGACGCTCTGGCACCAGGATGTCAGCTACGAGATCCAGCCCCCGGGCTATGTGATGCTTGGGCTGCTGGAGGGACCTGAAGTAGGTGGTGATACTGTTTTCTCAGCGACCGATATGGCATACAAGTAAGTATCATCCTCAAGCGCAACGAATCAGCGCCGGGCAGGTAGATTCTAATGCATAGATTAGGCGTCTTTCTCCAACTCTCACCTCCTGGTTGGACACGCTGCGCGCAACCCACTCATCGGCAAAAATGATCCAGCATGCACGTCTGACTGGGAGCCTGGTACGCAAAGAAGCCGTCGACACCGTCCACCCGCTTGTGCGCGTCCACCCAGTCACCGGCGAGAAATGCCTTTTTGTGAACGGCGAGTTCATCACCAAGATTCAAGGTCTGAAGGAGCCTGAGCAGCGCTGGTTGCTGGACTTCCTCATGCAGCATATCATCACTGGGCACGACTTTCAGGCGCGAGTGAGGTGGCAGCCTCGGACCATTGTGATTTTCGACAATCGTTGCACAACGCGTGAGTTCCTTGTTACCTACCGAAGATAAGCACCCAAAAAGCAATACTGACGGATATTTGCAATAGATTCCGCCATTGTCGACTACCTCGATGATGATAACGGCGCCAAACTCCGTCACATCTTCCGTCTGTGCGCATTGGGCGAAAAGCCCATCCCTGTATACGACCAATTCGAGTAAATCCCGACGGCCTCCGCCACCTGTTCGAGGAGCTCTATCCTTGTTCTCAGCACCTCTTAGTTCTCACGGAAGGTCAAGGGTGCTGGACGCCACCGCGATGCCTTGCCAGCAATAACGTTCCATGCAGCAGGCTCGGAAGATGTTTCCCCGCTACCCCTCAGACTTTGGGATCCTTGGCGCGTCGCATGTGCCTGATCCTCCCTCCCTCCTTCTCATCCTTTCCTCTTTCATCCATCCTCTTCCCGTTTTTCTGCCTGGATTTTTTGCTTGGCTGCTTGATTTTGATTGATACCTCGGCCTGGTTCATTTGACTGTTTAATGTGGATTTTTTATTCCCGCTTTTAGTGACCTTATTTTGTGCCCTGTTTAGGCTTCTATGCTCTAGAACTAGTGGGGCCAACTTGCTTTTTCTTTTTCTTTTTTTTTTCATTATATTTTTTTTCTTTATATTTTTTTTCTTTATTTTTCTTTGATCTAAAATTCTCGTGTCCGAAAGCAATGTTTTTTATTCTCTGTTATTTGTTTTGAATTTGTTAGCCCGATAGACTTCACTTCTTTTCTTATCTACCAGAATTATTTATTATCATATTTACGCGTCAAAAATATCAAAATAAATTAATTATCAAAATAAAAGCAATCAAACGACTAATGAACGCGTAGTTAGTAGGTAGTTGAACCAAAACTCAAAAAATACTACTAAATGATGTTCGGATGTACCCTGTACACACCACTTTCACACGCATCATTATATATTATTGTATGCAGCCTCATCATCGAACACACTCACCCCACCCAAACATCCACACCCGGGAAGCGGGGACCAAACACTTTTCACAGTAGTAGTAAGTAGCCACTAGTATCTACTCAGAAAAATACTACTACTAGAATGCTGCATCTACTATTGGTGTATTATTAGGAGAGTACTAGGAATAAATAAAACATGTTAAGGTATCAGTGAAGCATCAAAAAATGAGAAATTGGGCTCGAAACTACTAAAAGAACAACTGCCGATCAGTATTCTAGTACCGTGACTAGTAGAAGCAGTAAACTGCCTTCACATTCGTACTAGTACTTAAGTTACTAGTGTTCACAGGCGAAATCTAAGTTAGGAAAATGGTCGTACTGGTGCTACTACTACTACCACCACCAACTACTACTACTACTAGTGATAATAAATCAATACCTCGAAATGGGCAGATGAATCAAAGTCGATTATATATATATTTATATATTAACTTGGTAAATAAGTCATCTACTAGTAGTAGTACGGTTGTTCCACACCATAATGAAGATGCAGGTAAATAAAAAGTCATGATCATCATCTTACATTGATTACATTGATTAATACCCAGTTTATAGTACTAGTAGTACACCTTTAATCATATCCAGAAAATTGGACAGGAAAGAAGGGAAAAAGGAAGGAAGATGGCTTTGAAAAATGATATAATATATGATGGGATTATTTTGGCACTTCACTTCACTTCCGTTCACTTCTCTTCACTTGATTCGACGCGACATGACTCTCTGGATGCTGCATGCATGCAAGTAATTGAAAATAATAAAGAAAATAAAAAAGAAAGAAAATACACGAAACTCCAGCGCCCAGGACTAGAACAGAACAGGACAATAAATAATCGAAGTGGGATTGGGTTGCATTGCTATACGTGAAGGAGGGGGGGCGCGGGGAAGCGATGAAATTCGGGAACCAGTGGGACGGTTAAATCACCGCAGAATATCATCGATTCTCGTCCTCAGTTCTTGTGCCAGCTGGACTTGTTCCGGAGTGATACCACCCTGCTGGAGGAGAAGGAGGGTTTCGAGGATGCGCTCAGAGACGAGGTCGCTTCCGAAGACGACGCCGCCCAGACGGACCGTGTCGTGGAACCAGTGCTCAATCAGGTAGAGAAGATCCTTGGCGATGTACTTCTTGTTGGAACCTTGGAAGGGAGCTTCATCGGTGTAGTACATGGATTCGAGGACGGCGTAGAGAGTCTCGTGGGCGACGCCAAGATCGAGGAAGAGGTCAATGACCCATGTTGCAGGACCGACACCACGCTGGTGTTCGAGGGCGTAGCGCTCGAGCATGGGTAGGAGAATGGGGATCGGGAACACAGACTCGGACATGCGCAGACGGCTGCCCAAACTGCGGACCTTGTCGATTACAGCCTCGTAAGGGATGGGCTCACCCCGTTCAAGGACCTCATCGTGCAGGTCTTGAAGGAGGTGTTGCCAGGTCGATCGGATATCGGCTGGGTTACGGTGGTCGGCCAGGAAAAATATCTGGAGACAGATGTCATAGTAGCTTGCAGGGTCGGCGTATTGGTTGAAGAGCTGCAGGAAAATATTAGCCAAGAAGAAAAGAGAAAAGTAAATGACTAGGGGAGGTTGGGCTGATGACGTACAGTGCTAATGTCCTTGATGGGTCCGTCCACATCCTTGAGAACTTCCGCCCGGCGTTCCGGCGCAAGACGTCTGTCGTCCTTTAGGCGTTGCAGGAGATCGTCCTGGATGTTCGCAATGTCAATAAGGTTGGAAGTTTCCTGCACCAGTCGCTGTCGGGCTTGTCGGCTAGTGTCGGGCGTGAATGTGGAGGCGTTGGCCCTGGCTCGGCCCAAGTACTCAATGCGACGGCTGAGAGGAAGGGTGAACGCGCTCTGAGCCAGATCCAGTTGTACCTTGGCTGCCTCAAAGAACCGCTGAGACTGAGCAAAGTACCGCCAAAGCAGATCCGCGTGAGCAAGGTCGTCTGCTGATTTGCGCTCAAGGTAGGTCACAACGAAGGGCGAGTTGGTTTGCAGCAGTCGATCGCTCCAGCCTTGCTCCAGATACCAATCGTACAAACTCGTCAAAAACACTTCATCCGTCGAGTCGGAAACGACACCATATGCCTCATTTTTGCGCTTGGCGATTATCGTCAATTGTCCATCAACAACGCCGGGATCGTGAGCGGCGAGGCTGTCAACGGCGATGATAACCTTGAAGATGA